ATGTGTGGCAACGCCAACAACTTCGAGACGCGCAAGGATTGTGAGCGACGCTGCCGACCAAGACGCGCTAGGATGAAGAGGAAGAGAGGAAGAGGTTGTCGATTCGTTCCTCGCTATGAAGTACTGAAGAGAAGGAGCTGTTTGCTTGTTTCACGTAAGGACAGAAGGGAAAACGTTAACCAGTCAAAGTGCGTTCGAAGGAAGAAACAAGGAGCATGTATCATCCAGGATACCGTCGGAATAATGCGAAGACGCCTGCGGCAAAATGTTGTGACGATAGTGATGCAAAACGTACGAGCGAGTGGTGGAAAAAGCGAAAGGGGAGATCGGGATTCGGGGAAGGCCGGTACGTCGCATGAGCCATGGCGAGAGAAAGATGAAGAGGTTATCGTCGGAAATTATAGGAGAAAAAGGATCGTGGGGTGGCGACGGAGTGGGCAATGGCGACAAAAAAGACTTATTTCGCGACAGACTGAACGGTATGAAAGGGTGGAGTGCTGCTACACCTATGTACTTGTTACCGTTCCTGTAAATGGAGCTGCAAACTGTAGGCGTTAAGAAGGTGAGACAAGGGATGAGACGGTGAGACAATGTGAGCGCGCATATCGCGACTATGTGAAGCAGGCACAATGCCATAATCTATACGGCATGAAAAGATAGTTTATTTTGAGCTATGTTCCCGGTGTAACGGATTCAGGCGTACAATTGGCATAAAATCAGACGTGCGATTGACAAAGGGACTAAATGAATGCTTATCTCTATATTAACGAGACATAATTGAATATGAATTAGTACCTTGCTATCGGCATTAATTTGAGTTGTAGGTGGTGAATAAGCGGAATCGGGTTGGCACGATGGAAGTAAGGGGTCCTCAAGGTGTTGAGCATTTATGCATTCATTCTGCTGTCTAATAAACGATCTCGCGGGCCACCGTGTTTCGTGACGAGTTTGACGCATGTGTTAGGCATATCAGCACTGGTATAATTACGAGTATGCACATAATCACCGTTATAATGTTGAGCTAGAATGCTGAACACAAATCGTCCGGAGCTATTCAGTATTGCAATGTGTAACATCCCTGCCTTACGCGCATAATGCGTTCACCGGCCCACGAAAAAATATATGTATAGGCGTGATAAACCCGAAAAAACAGTAGAACGTTCTTACCTAAGCTATATTTTCGGACCAAAGATAGATTCGAGCCACAAGCGACAGTCATAAGGTACCTATGCCGCTGCCGCCATGCATACGCCAAAAGACTGCTTCAGCGTTGCGAACGATAGTATAACACACCGTATCAGATCAAATTGGACGGATTTGATAGCTGCACGTGCAGCTTGGACAACACTCGTAAACGTGACAACATTGCGATAGCCTCTCACAAAAACGCATCTATAACACTTGGGTCAGGTGGCGGAGGGGGGGGGGGGGGGGGGAGGTCTGATGAAACACCAGTCTTCGGTCTATCTCCTAGTTCAGACAAAAAGTACCACTGGGGGCGAGATGACCTTATTTACGTCACCTCAACTTGACATACGTTCGGACTTCGGAAACGTATATAACGGCATCCGGATCTGGTCCCGGATTCGTATCCATGTCTGAATCCAAACAACATGACAATGGACATTCTATCCACATACGAACTGTTTGGTCTGACATCACTTCGCTGTAATGCCTATGAAATACAACATACGTAAACTATCAGAAAGAAGCAATGACAAAAGGACACCTTATCCCTATTGATTTAAATAGTAGAACCTACCCGAAAAAGAAAAATGGTGGTTGAGATAATACAAGAAAGAGGACATATGAGTAAAAAACGTCAATTACAAAAGCGCGACACCAATTAAAGTTCACTTCTGTGTTCACTATTCAGTATGACTAAAAGTAAACCATTTCCGCCGTTGTATGCATCGTTTACCCAACAGGTGACTCTGAATGACATCATAGTTCATACTTCATAGTGACGTCACGGTAACCATGTTTGGGTTCCCGTTCTGTGGTCGTCCTATTCACTAGTGTGAGAGATTCATAGCCCAGACACCGATCATCTTATGACGTCATAATTCGGCACTAACCACATCACAATTCAATGCACCCAATGCCCCATCACCACGGCCACCAATGACGTCATCATCACACTGACGCCACGGATCGAGTCCCTCAATGACGTCATCATAGCTCAGTGTGACGGCTGAGTATCTTATCCTCCAGCATCACCTGTAGCTTTTCCACGTGCCTCTCCTGATCCTTGATCTTCCGATCAAATACCTTACGTCCCTCTGGCGGCAAAAATAGATACAAACACGTCAAACGACGAATTGCTCAACTGTTTGGAACCGCTTCAAAAAAGGTATAGCCCACCGCTAAAGTAATGTGTGGTTTTACCAATCTCAACGGATGGCTTTGACCGACGATTTTTAAATGCGGACTGATTGAAAAGAAGACGTCAATAGATAAAGTTGTAGCTGCAAGGTTGAAGCTACATGTAAGCTACATTTAAAGTCTCGTTGCAGTCTGGCTGATCGTTCCTAGGCTTCAGAAGCAGAACATACCCATGACTGAAACCACACATTACTTCTGCTGTGGACTGTACAGATCGTTTGTTAGAAACAGCGTGAATAGAGGAACATTTCAACCGGGTTGATTTTTAAAAGATACGTAGCTTACTGTGGGAACAAGGTCACATGGGACTTTTCCACCAATGGCGTCACAAGAGGCACACTCCGCGTCAGTTTCACTGTCGAGGCAGAACAAAACCACAAACCACCTTCAAAATAACAGATCGTTACCTCTAGAGCTCACGTGGATCCCGTGTCCCTAACATTAGATCATTCACTAAGATTTATGCAGGGAAGATATCTTATCTCGAAATGACTGTTAGCACCATAAAGCGTCGATCCCACCATTAGTGGCCATTGTAAATAACATACGCTATCATAATCTGATAGGTGCTGAAAACACTGCACACGATTCGAACGTAAGTAACTCAAATAATAAACCCGTAAGCAAATGTCAAACGCAAAGTATACGAATACTGCATGGGCGAGCGGGCAATAGCAAAAAATATTGCCCGATGTGACGTCACTGTCGCCCGAGGGTGAAGACCGAAACAAGTGCTATTGCCCGAGGCGAAGCCGAGGGCAATAGCACTTGTGGAGGTCTTCACCCGAGGGCGACAGTGACGTTACAGAGGGCAATACTTTTGCTATTGCCCGCTCACCCATGCAGTATTCGTTTTATTACATGGCCAACTCTCGGCATCTTTACTTAGTATTCATTCATCCCGTAATAAAAAATATCCAAACACAAAAATCATGGTACAATTGAATGTATTGGATATACAATCATAGCCACGTCACATGTCTACGGCACACACTTAGTTGCTTTACATGTTAAAGTTGAAGATGCAGCCTGTGAAGAGCTGGCCGCCGCCGGTCTGAGGCTCCACTGATGTAGATACTGTGGATGTCGTTGCATCTCCCACGAGGCTGAGCGTTCTGCTCATACTCCTCAGTTGATCGTCCGAGACCATCTTGGCGTAGTGTTGGAGAGACGACAAGGACTTGTGGCCGCTGATTTGCTGTTTGTGTCGACCCTCGAACCCAGCGTGGTCCAGGCTGGTTATGGCTGTAGCCCGGATGCAGTGGTTGGTGTAAGTGGTGCTCAGTCCGGCGTCCTTGCACACGAAATCAAACTGCTCACGTCCTTCCTCACGAAATCACGAAATCAAACTGAACAGTCTGAGAAAACGACGATAAAATTACGACATTTGAATTTTTGTTCAAACACCACTGCGCGAGCAACTTACTATTGACCGTTGACATGGCAACCGCTTCTCACCTTCAGAAAGGTCAGTAATCTGATGCCGGGCAATAGTAAAAAATATCTCATGCCAAATTAACACAGGAGCCATGTAATAATAAGTACTGACTGGACATTAGCTAAACCTGCTTGGACAATGGGACTTATGTAAGAAATAAAGTTAATGATAGGTATAATAAACATGATCAAGATTCAAGAACAAAGGTCCGAGTCTCAAAACAAAACATTAGAGACGAGAAATAATAAAGAAATGTCTTCGCTCCCAGAATCAGACCCTGATCTCTACTATCAATATTGACATTGCCCACTGAACTGAACAGATCAACTTATGATGGTACAATTACGCACACTTTGTGATAACTGATACATCAATATAGTCCGATTTTTTAGCCTGTCTCATCACTGCAAGTGCATAAATCAGTACCGCACGAGTCGGGCCATTGCAATGAATAGAGTCAAAATAAATATCAAGATTAAAATGAAATTTTCCGCTAGCCGGTGTTCAAGGTATGAAGGTTTCACGTGGGCTTTTCATTAGAACGCTTTCACTGGCGGTCGCAGCCGCTAGCAAAAGGGGGGGGCCAAAGTCACACTCGCGGGACATAACATTTGTCAGACTCAGTCACCGGAGGGGGGGGGGTGATCGGCTATTTTTTTTTTACGTCCACGAGGCGCCGCGCAGTTGGCATTACTTATGCTTCATCCACCTCATTCTTGCGTGAAATCTTAAAGCTCAATTTAAGGCGAAAGCACCAGTTCCAATTCCCGTCCCACGGTGTTTCCACCGGTCGGGCCACTGCACCATGGCGACGGAGCGGTGTAGCATATATGTACTGGAAGGTCAGGCACGCGGATTCATGACCTTACCACAATAAAACAATTCGGAAAAGTACAGATACCTCTTGCTTTGAACAAGCATGTGAAACCCAGAGAGCATTTTCAGACTATGACATTTACCCATATAGTTGTTTGGCGGCGGGAGAGAATAGGCACACCGACCTCTGGAGACCCCCGGCCCCACAGGTTCCTGGTTTTCAAAATTGGCATCTGAGGGCCGCGCGCGACTCGTGCGGGGCCTCGCAACGGCTCTATTGGGGCTCACTCAATCTGCCTTATAGTCCTAGTGCTAAAAAGACTGGCACTGAGCCCTAAGGACTTCATCAGTCTCTGCCAGCCTCAGGACCCACACTGGCTCATGGGGTCCCGACGTCGAAATATGAAGGAATCTGCGCGGGACCATCAGGACGTAAAGTAATCTCGATCAGGACCAACGTACGGCTGTGCAGGAGTCTGCGTGAGCCCTGTGATCTTCAGAAGCCCACCCATGTATGTTTTCACTTAGAGGCCAGTTTAGGGCCCTCAGAGACCAGTACAGGGCCTGCAAACTGCAAAGGCCAGTAGTTTGAGACCATCAGAGACCGAGTTGGGCTCTCAGAGGCTTATGTGGGTCCTACTCATTACAGGCCAACATGGGGCCCTCAGAGGTCAGCGTGGGGCCCTAAAAGATCGGAATGAGCCGTCGTTGGAACCCAGAGGCCAGCAGAGTGCCCTCAAAGTCCAAGATGAGCCCTCCTCAGAGGCCAATGCAGGCCCTTAGAGGCCAGCATCGGGTCTTCAGCAGCCAATGCGGGGCCCTCATTGGCACCTAAATGTTCGTCTTGGGACACCAGAGATAGCAATAAGGCCACTAGAGACCAGTGTGAGACCCTCAGGGCTTCTGACCACCGGGCTTCTGAGGTGCACAGCACCAACCCATGCGGTCTTACTTTAGTGTCGTAGAGCCGCGCTCATTTGGCAGGGCCCACCCGCCACTGGGAAGAGGGTCTCATGCCAGCCATTGCTGGGCCTACGAGAGCCTCAAGTAAACCCACGCTGATATTCCATATAAGATCCTGCCATACTCGTGAACCGGTGCCAGCGACGCTGACCGCCAAATTGACAGAATGCGAAACTGAGCCCACTCATGAGTGAAATTTACGTCCTTTGATGGCGCAAGAAAGAAAATGAAACATGCAAAAAGCTTTTCTAGGACTTTTGTTCGATCTGAAAGGTGGGGCCAAAAGATAGTATGGCCCCACCTTTCAGCACCAAAGGGGGGGCCATGGCCCCCGTGGCCCCCCCCCCCTGGGACCGCCTATGAACGCTTTCAACGACTAGACATAGTTAAAAATCGGACTATAATCCGGCCCGGAGCGGCCCCCACCAGTCGGCACCAGTTCCATCCGGTACATACCAGTTTTATCCGGTAAATCGTCGTCGTCGGTGTGCCGATGACGTCCATCTTTGGACAGCATGTCCATCTGAACGTGACGGAGTTTCTGCAGTCGCTGCTCGTAATGTTTCAGCTCCGTCTGAGTGTGGGGGGGGGGAGGAGGGATACATTAACGTCAGCGACTCACGTTATCAATAATTTCGGTAACACGATCATTGATCAAACAAGAGACACGAGATCACCATACATAATCAACTAAATGCGCATCAGGAACGGATTTTCCTATTCGCTCAGCAATGATTGTGATTCGTTTGTACCTAATACGGATCTAGTCTGCTCATGTATCCCTGCCTCCTCGGTCACTACTCATAGAAAGACAGACATACCGTAAGATAAGACAGCGAAGCAGGGTACAGAATCAGACACAGACAACAAGCAGACGAAAATTGACTGACAATTAACACACTGATTAATAAATCATTCAGTGAGACAAGTACTAAGCCAGACACAAAAACAAATACAGTATAATCCGCTTCATAAGTTATCGGATGATTAATCCAATACCTAGCTTATTGTGGCCACTTCAGCAGGCGCCGCTCATGTATTTCTTCATAGAAGCATAACAGCAGACTTCGGTCAATAAAGACAACGCTGACTAAATCCAAAACGTCGTGTCACCACGCTGTATTCATTAAGCGGATTCCACTGCACACACAAGTAAAAAGACAATGACTCACCCATAACGACTCGAGCTCCTCGGCTGTGAAGTCTCCTTTTCTGGCCATCTGCCACAGTCCATCCACCTTGGGCTCCATAAAGTCTCTGCCATCGGGTCCACTGATACTTGCCACGTGAAGCCGGTCGTAGCCACGGCTAAGTTCTTCATGGAGATCACTGCGGGGGAGAGGTGAGAAGGGTGGCTGGGTGAGAATCTCGAGCGAGAGAGAGAGAGAGAGAGAGAGAGAGAGAGAGAGTGAGAGAGTGAGTGAGTGAGTGAGTGAGTGAGTGAGTGAGTGAGTGAGTGAGTGAGTGAGTGAGTGAGTGAGTGAGTGAGTGAGTGAGTGAGTGAGTGAGTGAGTGAGTGAGTGAGTGAGTGAGTGAGTGAGTGAGTGAGTGAGTGAGTGAGTGAGTGAGTGAGTGAGTGAGTGAGAGAGAGAGAGAGAGAGAGAGAGAGAGAGAGAGAGAGAGAGAGAGAGAGAGAGAGAGAGGAGAGAGAGAGAGAGAGAGAGAGAGAGAGAGAGAGAGAGAGAGAGGAGAGAAAACGGCCGTCACCCAAGGATTAAGTTCACTAGGGAAGTAGAGACAGACGGTACGCTTCCATTCTTGGATCTAAACGTCAGGAGTAGAGTTGCAAAATTTCCCTACCGCACTACCGGCATGCCGGTAATTTTTCACTACCGCAGGTTTTTTCGTGGTATCTGGCATGTCTTGCCGGTAGCATGCCGGTATTTTTGATTTTGCACAAAAAAATTATCAGCATATGATTCAAGCTTTGGACACTAAAAGAGGCTATTGAATTGTAATAAGTTGGACAATGGGTGGCTGTTGGGTGGGGCGGTTACTGAAATTGCCAAAATGTGGCATCTCATGTAGGGGTAAGCCAGAATCAAGAATGCAGGTTTTTTAGTATGCCGGTAATTTGGCGGTTTTTTTTGCTTGGGGCGTGGTAGCATGCCGGTATCCCAGAAAATGTTTGTGGGGCGGGGCGGTGCCGGTAGCAGCCCATTGGGAAAACTTTGCAACTCTAGTCAGGAGGTCTGGGGACAGATTCGTCACCTCTGTTTTCAGGAAACCGTCTTTCACTGGACTAGGTTTGAGCTTTTTTAGCTTTATTCCCAAGGCGATCAAGGCGGCAGTATTACAATCGGCCATCCACAGAGCTTACAAGCTATGCTCCAGTTATCAACTTTTTGATTGTGAGCTTAACTTCCTGAGATCTTTCTTCAAAAATAATGGTTTTCCTTCTCCTCTTATCCATTTTGAAGTGAGGAAATTCCTCAACAAACAATACGATCGGGTACCAGTATCTTTTGATGTGCCCAAGCTCAGCAAATACGTGACTTTCCCGTACCTTGGAGAACAGTCTCAAGCTTTAAAACATGCTATTACCGATATACTGACTACCTACTACCCCTATGCTCAATTTCGTATCGTTCTGAGGAACCGGTTGACGATAGGCTCTTTTTTCAAATACAAAGATAGAGTTCCAAAAATGTGCTGCTCTGGCGTGGTATACAAATTCTGTTGCCCCTCGTGCGGGGGGTCGTACATTGGTTCTACCAGTGCACGCCTTAACACCAGAGTAAGCCAGCATTTAGGAATCTCTGAGAGAACGGGTAAAATGCTAACATCTCCTCCCCAGTCATCTGTTAGAGATCATTCAGATGAGTGTGACACCCGCTTTTCAATTTCGGATTTTCAGATACTAGGAAGACCGCCTACAGCTATGGACCTTAGAACGCTCGAATCTTTGTACATACATAGGGAAAAACCAAGCTTAAATGGCAAAAATCAGCTGTGCCCCTTCAGATTGTTACATAGACAATGTCCACCACCTGGTGCTTTATTTTTGAAGTGCCTTGAGGTATGAAGCACCTGAGTTTTTGGCATCTTTTTTCAAATAGGTCAGTGAGAGTCTCAAGCGATTTTAAAAAAGACTGTAACGATTGATCCGAGTGTTGCAACGATGTAGCGATTTCTCCATTTCTTTTCTCTCGGTAAGAAAACTTCTACCACTGAGCCATATCCCACGTTCGGCGTCTCTCGGACGACGAAGATTCTACGTTGTTCGGCCAATCCCGTTCCATAACCGCAGCCAATTACTCACTTTATCCGTGATTTGTAGTCTGCGTGTGACTTGTTCCTCTTTAGGTTTTGCGACGGTTTGACATCCGATCTGAAACATAACCAGGTCAGGTCAGAGCGTGAGGTCATCGTCACGATGTGACGTCAATGAGTGACGTCATACCTCGACCATGGATGAGATAATAATGGATTGGTGTCTTCGCAGTTTTTGGCGACATTGAGCTCAGGCCTGCCATCTAGCGGGAGAATTGTCGTAAGTTAGGAGCAAGCCGAGTGAACGCCGCTGATTAGCATTGTGACACACGGGAGTGTGGTGTAGTAACAGGCTTGTTGTGCAATTTTTCAAAAGGTTATGTCTTTATATGTCAGTAAAAGCAAAGAAATTAGTAGATTTATGTGCAGGGTCAGTAATAAGATAAGCAGTTCCATGTTATTTCCTCATTAAATCGTGAAACAGGGAGTTATTGGAGACTTCGCCAGCACGTGCCGTTTTCGCTATTTTTCACATGAGTATTTACTTGGCCTAAATCAAACAAATTGTCCGATAAAAGAACAAAACGAACGTAAATACTATCTATAAGTCTAATGAAAAACTTAAACGGAATTGCTAACGTCATTGCCGCTCAATATGTCATTCAAGACGCTCTATGAAAAGGACCCAACCGGGGGTGCGTAGTCGATGAAATTTCAGCAACTTTGGCTCCAACTCCGATTCCGGTATCCAAATATCGACTCCGACTCCTCCGGGCAGAACTGTCAATTCACACAGACTCCGACTCTGACTCCGACTTTGCAGCCCTGGTAAGTCTGTGGAGTGATGACTTTTCAGTGACGTTCGACTCATACTCGGGCTACAGCTTTTAAAGATCAACCGACTCCGAGTCGGAACAGAACCGCTGGCTCTGACTACAACTTCGCAGCCCTGGCCCAAGATAGCCGCTTAAAACAACTTTTTGTGTGATCTTCGTACATTGTTAATGTTATTTTAAACAAGGGGTGGAAAAGGGAGACGAAGCCTTCGCAAACAAGGATCTCCTGTTGCGAATCAATCAGCTGCTGGAAAAGAAAGGCATAAACACCACGCATCTCATTTCATCGTTTTCCTAACAGCTCTGCACCAATGTAAGCACTGATCAATGCAGTGCGAGCATCGATGTGACATTTGTGTACCAAGTTTGAGTGTTATCCGCCCAGCCGTTCTTGAGATATGGAAGCGGCACCCCGCACGTGCGCACGTGCAGTAGCACCCCCATAGTGACACATGGAAATGCATTGGCCACTGGGTGCCTAACTATTGACGAAGTTTTACTGTAATTGGCCCAGCCATTGCGGAGTTACTTTATGTGGAACAGTTTTGACACCCCTAAGTTGGCACGTGACACGTGCCGTAACATTAACTAAGATGAAGAAAATCGGGCGAAATTCGGAGAAGAAGGAATAAGCCTACCAAATATGTGACATATTGTTAAACTGCTGTACCATTGTGAGTAAATGACCATATAAAAGGTCGTACAAGCCGATGGGACTGGGCGTTTCAATACACACCGTCTTACGCATTTTATTTTCGTTATTACCTAAAGGCTGCTTGACGTTTTTGGCTTTCAAGCATTTAAGACGTTTTTTGTCGTCTCAGGTCCAGTGAGATTACCTCCAACTCGTGGGAATATGCACTTCAAGCCAACTAACACACCACACCCACGTGTGTCATAATGCTGAGAGATGGCGTTCACTCGGCTTGCTCCTAACTTACGATAATTCTCTCGCTAGATGGCAGGCCTGATCCCAATGTCGCGGATCCCAATGTTAATTTCCACGAGACACCAATCCAGTGTTATATCATCCATGCCTCGACGATGTATGTCGAGGTATGAACGTCATTCATTGCCTTCATTTATAATCTTAACCACTCTCGTTCGGATGAGCGAAAACCAATTATCAAGAGACGGGGGACACAAGAGCAGAGAAAATACGTATAACAAACGGACCTCAAATAAATAAATGCTGAGCGAATAGGAAAACCCGTTTCTGGGTCCAATCTTACCAAATGCCGTGAACGCGCATTCACGGCATTTGGTAACATTCAGAACTATTCCACATTCACTTATTCATTCGTTCAAGCAACATTCATATCATTGGCGCAAAATCATTGGACAAGATTAGCTGGATGTAAATGAAAAGGATATATTTGATATCAGTGACGTAAACTCCGGGCAGTGTTGCCAAATCCTATTTACGGCATTGGCAAGATTGGGCCCTGATACGCGCTTACCGACCCATGTATAAGGTATGTAACCACGGTCATAGACATAATTAATGCTGAATTTTAGTTAGCTGATCGGAGTCAGCTAAGTTATCACTAGCTAGTAGCTATGTTCCCATGCCACAAGTTAAGCCGATTTTGCAAAATGGATTTGCTCCATCCTAGCATTTAGGCAGCATTTAAAAATGTAAATATAGGATTAGGTGCTAGCTAAAACCAAACATACGCTCGTTTTTTTTTGCATAAGGTGAATAGTATCCGAGAAAAACGCACGTGGAATTTCTCTTCATCGATTTAGACGTGTCATGGAAACGAAGTAACTGTCAGAGCGGGTTTATTATCTTATAAAGAATATATATTCTTGGACGATACCGCGAAAACGAAATATTACTATCGAGAGTTTTTAAAGAATTTCATGCACGAGGTCTTGGCCGAGTGCATGACATTCTTTGAAAACTCGAGATAGACATATTTCGTCGCGGTCAAGGCCCTAAAACATAGGTCGCGGCAGAGTCCTAGATATTATTTCCTGTATGTTTCATAATATCGTTCGTTATCCGCATGAAAAGGCCGAAATTTGCCGAAATAAAATACAGTTAGTTACATGAAGTACACGTTGGGTACTGAAATACAGGCAGTCCTAATTACTTGACAGTACAGTAAAGCCTACAAATTTCCTTTCAAGCAGAAGCTCCAGATGAAATCAAGCTATACAAGAAAACTATCCAAAAAAACATCTCGTGCAAAGCTTCTTGGATGGCTGGATTGCATTGCAAGACTGCATCAAACATACAGGAAATGCGATTCTCTAACAGATAATTCGATCTATTGAGCAGAAATCTGTCAATAGCAGACTATCAGGGTCGTATAAGGATACAATGTGTCGGTCTCAGCCATTCGCCCTAACATCTAAAACCCCGTTTCACGGCACACCGCTACCCGCATTATATGGTACTACCGCTTAGGTTTCTAATGGATACATAAAACAACTTTGCCATTTCGCTTACATTTCCTAGAAAACCAAGGCGCTAGTACTACTAATGGGTAGCAGCATGCCGTGAAACATAACCAGGGCGAAGCCGTTTAGTCGTCGTTAATCATCAGTAGGCTACCAGGTTTCTCGGCTTCTCATTGGTCGAACTCACTTAAGGTCTGAGCAGTACACCAAAAAGAAACCAAGAAAAGCCAGCTAACAACCTCCTGTATGGGGAAACCGTGAGCATGCTGGACGCTCGTTAAAAAAGCAACGAACAGCAATCGAAGAAATTTGACTGCGAGAAGTCATCAAACGGCTTCCAATGACGTCATCAAACGACTTCCGATGACATCACAGACTCACTCGTGAATGTTGTTGGACATCTCCTCCTGCTGTTCGCGCGCCTGATGGTGTTCCTCCACCAGTAGGTGATACTCGTCCACCCGATCCTGATGGTGTTGAAACTCTTGCCGTAGTGCCTTCAGCTCCTCCTCTGTGGAGAACAGCTGAGGTTTTAAATCTGGTGCATCGTAGCTCAGACAGTTAATACACACATAATACATGGTAACACAGCACAGCTTACACAAATGTAAGATGCATAACAGTTGTGTCGGTCCATTCATCTAATATCGGTCCTAGGAAATACAATCTGACCGGACAAGAGCAGCCAGCCGGATTTCAAAGCGACCGGCCACACCATTCTAGAAGACATATCTCACACGTCCTACATTCAAGCTGGAAATTTAGCAAGACTAGGTGTCATAGTATATATTTTTTCAGCAGCACAGCAGCTTTTAAACTAGAGACGGACCAGAAAAAGCCGTACCAAAATGAAGCCTCCTGCAGATGTGCACCACAGCGGCCTCGCCTGGATATAACTCACGTGAAAAGCCCGACTTTTCCGCCTTCTCCCACAGCCTGTTTAGTTTCTTGTCCTTGAATAACCGATGCATCGTGACTTTCGGCGTGGGTGTTGGTGTGTCGGCGGCGGCGGCACGGGCAGGTCCAGAAGGGTGATAGCGGGCCAGGCCGTATCGGTTGAGCGTTTCTGAGGACACACAGAGGCGATTGGTTGGGTTAGATGAGAAGTAGTGGGTACTGGGTAGTGAAGCGTGAGGTTAACACACAAAGAATGGAAGAGAAGGAATCCGTTCCACTCTGTACATTTATTATCGGGCCATTCCATATGGCAGGGTAATGCTAGGCCTGAGTCAAAATGCATAAATGAGGTATCGTTAAAAGGAAAAAATGACCAAAGAATCATGATGAACACTTATGAGCTGACATAATTAAAAACACATTCCCAGTAAACGTAAAATCTCTGCTCGCGTTCCGGAGCTACTGACCACCGACGACAGGCGCCTGAAAGGCGCCACGTGCGCCTGAAAGGCGCCGCGTATCGGCGTGAAATTTGGCATGCCGAATCTGTGGGCGTGGGCGGCCTTTGTATTAAAATTTGGGTGTGATCGGCCAGGGGTGCGCCGTCGGCACGCGCTCGCGTGCGCCATAGGGTTAACACGGGAAACGGTCAAATCGAAGATCGGGCGAAAACCGGCCTGCGGCGCCCACTTCCCGGGCCCAAAACTCGGCGACAGATTGCCGTAGCGAGGTGGGGTTGCCACCACTGGATAGAGGAGAGATGGGCCTAGCGTATTGATATGGTTTCATAGCATAGCACGCGCCACGTGCAAGGCAATACCCCCGGTTGTGAAAAAATGACCGATTTCGTGCTTTGTGACGGGAAAATCGATGCCGCTGGAAAACGGCTTGACGGAATGAAATCGGTGTTGTATCATCTTGCAGGCAAATGTACGTATAATCAGAGGAAAGGAAACAAAAAGTGATGATCCGTACCATTTCCTTAATAATGAAAAATTAATTTGAAAATTGAATTCGCGCGGAGCACGATGTCCTTTACAACATCAAAACGTATTGAAAACGCTGACCAATCGCTATGAAACCTACATATTCGGAAAGAGCATTCTTTTCTGACCAATATCCACCCAAAATATTATCGAAAAGTCAATAAACTTTTGTGAAAATGACTCAAACAGACGACCGTGTTTTGTTAACGTTACCGGTATTTTTCTACAAAATCCAGGACTGGATATATCCAAAACGAGCAGTGAGAAGCGAGGTGCTTTAACCCGCGACCGCCTGGGGGGGGGGGGGTCGGATCCGACCCCCCCTCCGTTTTTCTTAAATAACTCATGAACCGCCTGCGTTATCAACTTGAAACTTGGCATACCTTCTCCCCCATCAATTTGACGTCTCCTGTGCAATTTTTAAGAAAAAATTTCAAAATTTTTTGAGATATATCGATTTTTGTGATGTAACTACATGGCGTTTTCAGTCAAAAAATGGTAAATGTTTAAAAATTCGCCAAAAATCGAGGTTTTAAGCAAATTGCAAATTAAGGACATGAAAAGACGCAGCTCAACGAGTTCTTTAAAATGGCTATCTCGGATTTTCCATAAAATGCGTTTTTCACCCCTAAAAATTCAAAAAACTAATTTTTTTGGAAAACAGCTAATAAAATCCCAAATTTTGAGAATTTCCAAAAAACCGGAATATATGTTATAGAGCTCTATTAGAACATTAGATGTCCCAAATTTCAACTTTCTATCTTGATTTTTGACCCCCAAATTGTAAAAAAATAGCTCCAACATGCATAGGGCATGGTGACGTCATAAGCATTTTCGCGAATTAGAGGCACTTCTGAACATCGCATGTGAAAACAAATGGCACCACTAGATTCCTGGGACAAAGCTCGTCTAGAAAAGTGCATTTTTATGTCAAAAATAAAAAGTTGAAAAATTGACCTTTTTTTCTCAGCTCTCGTTTAGTTATGTATGGTATAAACGATTTTTTATGCTTTCAATGCACACTTATCACCAGCACAGTGACTTGGGGTCACATATAACCATTATCATCGGATTTGGCGTGAAAAATAAGCCATAAAACATGTGTCGCACGCCCATGTAGCAAAAAGTGAAAACCGTGACCTTTCGTGACCTGACCTGACCTTGACCCGTACTTAGTATGACCCCTATACGCACATGGTACCTTCACTAGGTCTTTGAGGTCATTTGTGGTGAGTTTCGAGCAGCAGCTATCGATTCCGCTGTCCGTAAGCCTAATCATGCAAAACCCCTGAATTTGACCTTTGACCTGATCTTGACCCGAAAGTTGACCTCAATCTTAAAATCTTAAGAGTGTCTCGTAGAGACCTTTCGAACGCCGCCTCGCGGGGCTCGATACGACCATTGGTTCTCGAGATAACAGGGGGGGTCGGATCCGACCCCCCCCCCCCCAGGCTGTCGTGGGTACGGAAATAGCCCAGGCGGTGCCGGGTTAAATATGACGTGATAAGAACACCAATCCTATTGGACGGTACTGGAAAATTCTGGGAAGTACAGAGTACACACCACCGGTACCAATTAAACAAATATAGTAAACGCAAGCGTTAAGTCACGTCATGATTTCTGAGTATTCGACCAAAACGTGATATCTTTAAAATCATATAAAATCATAAAACAGCTCTGTACAGACATGTCGTAAGCGCCATTGGACTGCCAATACCATGAGCGATCAAATGACAATATTCGATTTTCGATGATCGTTCTACATTTTCCAAAATCATGAACTGAATCTTGGCAGTGTATCGTAAGAACTTCACGACCATGATGCACATATTTTTTAAAACGATCTTTTTTTCGACACAACACGAACTCGTATGATAAAATTAATGTCACCATCATGTTCTACGCCAAAGTACCCATAAAACATGTGTTCTATGCTGTGAATACCAGTTTTGGTTTTCGGTGATATAGGATGCCTACCTGAATGATGTGACCTTGACCCCAACCTATGCTTGACTGACTCCAAGATGGATGTGACATTCGTGTAGCACTTCTATGAAAGATGACAGTTTTGACAGACTTTATGAAGAGATACGCCCAGTGCGAGGTTCGAAAGTTCATGCTACTGAAAGCCCAATTTCAAGAGTTTGACCTGACCTTGACCGGACCTGGATCTCAAAATTCAACTTTCAAATACTTATCGGCAGCGTCTCGTCGCGTTCTTTCGTTTGGCGCCTCGCGCGTTTCGCTGCGCCTATTGGTTCTCGAGTTATCGGCTGGGGGCGTTTAACGCCCCCCCCCCCCATGCAAACGGCGGATGGCGGAATACCCCAGCAACTGCCGGGCTCCGGCGTTCACACTGCGGCTGACATAAAACAAGCGCATTGCTCGTGGCAAGAGAATGCAAATGCTTTCATATTTTTAGATTCTAGATATCACCGCTGACTTTCTGGATCAAGTCAATCTCAATGACCTATTTGCCAGGAAAATCAGGACCTGCTAGATTCTCCTAGAGAGAAGCAGATGAATCCTTTCTAGGGTATTTTGGGGTCCCGATTTTCTGAGTTTCACACTAGTTTTATTTGATGTCATTTGTGCATTTGGGGTAGGTTGGATGCAGGTCACTTTAGGTCAACCTGCATTTGTCACACCAGTTCTTCTTGGCTAGTATTTGCCATCAGTTAGGTATGCCTCAGTCACACATTATGTAGTCTCCAAAAGTAGTTCTCAAATCCTCAAATGAATGCTTAACTTGTTATTGGCTCTGAAAACTACTCAAATAGGTAAGCATCAAATATTTAAAAGTTAACTGATGTGACAGTGGGAAAGACGTGCAAATTATGGAGACAAGTGTCAGGCGCACATTCCTACTTGCCAGGCATGCATTCCCATCAAACTGGGCGCACCTTGGATGTGCACATGCCACAGTTTTCCTTGCCAGTCTAGCATTTGGTAGGTAGGTACTATCAAATAATTCAGGGTGGAGACAATATCAATCTTCTTGAAGCTATTCTCTGTGTCTGTAGGACCAGGACCAAAAGTCACAATGCCAACACTGTACAATGTACACTCCATGTCCCTAGCTCACCAAGAAGTCTAGTGCGCAGCTGTGCCTCCTTCAGTCCATCTTTGTCGCCACCCTCGTTCTTCAGTCTCTTCCACGTCAGCTCCTGCTTGTCCTGCAGCACGAGCTCGTCCCGCAGCGCCTCCAGCTTACCAGGACTGAGGACCTGCAGAAAGATACTCTTTGTCAGGGACATGCGTGTGGCAGTAGTAGCTGGGATAATCGAATGAACAGTGTGGTGAATGTACAAAATATGCAAAATCAAATTAACATTGTTAGATATAACACTGAACATCCACCTCAATTCTTAATACAAAATACATACCTTCTTAGCCTTATTCCATATCTGGTTTATCTTTGCCATCCTGAAAGGCAGATCTTCCCTATCTTCCATCCAAATGCTCGTGCCTTTTTTCTGTTTAACCCTTTGAGGGTCATTAGCTTCTTTACTGTATTTGTTTTCAGCTAAAGTACTTGTCACCAGTAAAAAGATAAATATTGCGATGGTTCTCATTTTTTGCGCGAATAAATTTTTTATCAGCACAGAGGAAAACAAATGGATGTGAAGTATGAACGAGTAATGCACACAAATGCCAGTTACGTAAAAACAACTCCGAGTGTGGGCAGTGGCTTGGGCAGTGACACACTATCTGTTCAAATTTACTTGACTTGAATAATAAGCACAAATGAAGGTGCGACTTTTCTGCTGATTCAGCTTACGAAAGAAAAATGAACATGATAATATTGAAATAGCGGCGTCACATATGTCTCAAAATGATTTGTTATTCCATGTTCGATGAACTGGGAATGCAGAGAAACTTCGCGTTTGAATAAGCCTAACTCGCAAAAATTTGGTTCCAAAATATTTATTCGTGATTTCTATAATCTAAATACAGATTTTTTTACTGGACCCTTGGTTCGGCTACTTCAAACTCTGATTGGATAGCTGCGAGAGGGCCCAATTTTGTGTTACCATGGAAACTACAGTGAACTGAACAGAACTGAGAGCTTTGCGCGAGCATTTCTTCTTCAGAGGCGGTAAAGTTCAAATTCGTGGGAAGCGTTAGGTATCTTGTGGGAAGCAAGCGCCTTGGACTGAGAAGCCGGTGGCCGATCCTATTTCCGTTTGGATTTTGGATCCTATAGTAAGTGGTATACCGTGGTAAGCGGCAGGAATTTCCTATCATCAAGGCCCCTGACAGAAAAACCGTGAGCTTGTTTATTTTGATCAGTTGCAATGCAATTAAAGCTCAATTTCTTCATGTGATACCACGGATCCTATCCAGTCGGGGAAACTATGGCAAAATCTGCTATTTTTAGCAGTCTGCTCTTTTTGACAAATCTGCCAAAAATGGGTACGCATGTGATGACATCGTACCCAAATATAGCAGATTTGGGTACGGCCCCATACAAAAGCAGATTACACCCTAATTGAAGCAAATGCGCATCAAATGCCTGGCAGATTCATGATGAGAATAGTGCTGACAGTGATCTCTGCTATTTTTGTTCAGATCCGACTATTTTCACTCACCTGGTTCACTCACCTGGTGGGGTTCCCAATCTCACGTCTGCAAACAGGAAGGAGTAGGCAGGGATACAGTAGGAACCCGCAGACACAAGGCGCACCAGCAGTTGCTACTACCGGAGTGGAGCGCCTGCACATATGTTTGCGTGAAAACAGGCATGGTTCAAGATGCAAAACAAGAGTAGTTATGTTGTACATAATTGATGCAGGAGAAAGACAAAGTCAATGCTACTTTAAATGTGTCCATGGTACAGTGCATTTCGCAAGACGGAGAACAAAACAAGGCGGTTAGTCCAGCCCTGCCAGCCTGAGCTGTATCTCCAGGTGTCCGGCTTACCTGTGATTGCTGCGATGCTGCGTTCACTTGACGGTGGCACCAGACTCTTGGAGGTCCGCGTTCGAGTCCCTCCGGCGTTCGATATTTGGTGCTTCTGGCGGGGATGGTCTGCGGTTGGTGGGAGCAGCCGCAGCCAGTTGAAGTCAGTTGAGTGAGGCAGGCCGTGTCTGGCTTTGAAATGCACGTGGAACTGTTTGAGAGGTTATTATTCTGACCAATCTATGGTTTCAGGGCCTTCTGACCATTTTAACATCCTTTTTATTTCTTTTGCTTATCTCGTGCGTTATTTATTTTTGGACTATCGATCTGACAGGCTTAAAAATCCGACTACAACACAAACCTGGCTATCATTCACAGGTGACGGGCGAGCCAAGTGATCTTTCATCATGGGGAAGACGGCTACCCAGCAGGTTAACAAGAATGCCATCACACTGAAGGGCTCGGCAGAAATCGTCGCCGAATTTTTCAGTGAGTTCTTCCAGTGTATCCTGGGTGTTATGCAGTTTCTGGCTGGGCTGGCTTTGTGATTTTTCGCTGTTTCTCTCAAGTCTTAATGCTGTGTTTGGTAGGTACAGTTGTTTGTTTTGTTGTTTTCAGTGAGATTCCGTGACGTGTTCCTTCCACCGCGACGGTATTTACCGTTTCTGCCGATGGTTGAGTCTAACGTCAAATACCAGCTTTTAGCGTCACATTTTCCCCTTTTTACGAATTACAATCGTATACAGTTACATTTTCTGCTTGACAGACTTTAGTAAAGCTAACTTAGACTATGACTGACGCTGACGCTGACTGACTCAGACTCTGTCTCTGACTCTGACTGTGACTCTGTCCCTGACTCTGACTGTGGCGCTGATGGCTCTGAAGCTGACTGTCTCTGACGCTGATTCTGACTCTGACTCTGACTCTGTTCTACAGATTTCGGCATCAACTCCATACTCTACCAGCGCGGCATCTATCCTGCCGAGTCGTTCCGGCCCGCACAGAAATACGACCTCACCCTGTGGCTGTCACAAGACAAGGAGGTCAACGGCTATCTCAGCAACATCATGGAACAGATCAAAGGTACCCAGTGACGGGCTATTTTTTGCCACCCCCCCCCCCCCCCTCCAGACTTTTCGATATATCTCCAGAACCGCTGCGCCGATCGTCACCAAACTTTCAGTACCCTCCCGGACATCAATTTTAAACATTGTCACCAAAATTTTTCCAAAGGCTATGATAGGTTGGCCGGAAGTGACGTCAGAGTGACGTCATGTTCTGCCATTTTCGACCAAAAAAAAGGGGGTTCCGCGGGAAGAGCTGTCAGGCCTATAGCTTTGCAAATACAGAAAAATGATAAGGACATAAAAGCTGTAGAATTGACAGCGCTACAAAACTGCTTTCTCGGATTTTTGAAATTTTTGGATTTTGACCCCCAAAAATAAAAAATAGATTTTCGGATATAACAGTCGAAAAATCCAAAAAGTTTTTTGAATTTCGCAAAAACCGGAATGTATGTGATAGTAGGGTGGTCCTTATTTTCGAAAATCGTATTTGGATACCTTGCGCCCCTTCAATCGGTGCCGTTTAACGAAAAAACATGTCTGTCAAAATTTCAGATCCCTACTTCATTATTTACTGGTAGCTCAACGCTCGTTCGTTCGTCAATGTTCGCTCAATGTCCGTTTCGTCGATCAATGTTCGTTCCCTCTTCCTGAGGTCTAACGATTGTCTACGACGCAAACTTCTGGGTACATGGTGTCCCCCAGTGATGACCTCCTTGGCTCCAAGTTCCCAGTAGCGGCGGAACACCTTCAATTAGGGGGGGGGGGGGGCACTGCCGACTTTTGGTCCCATTCTTTCCATGCAACGCCCATAAGGCTAATGTTAAAATGTCGAAATCAAAGGGGGCCACGGTGCCCCGGTGCCCTCCCCGTTCCGCCGCCTATGCAAGCTCCCATCCCGCGGCCAATCTCTCACCTACTTCTTCCACCGCCACCGAATCCTCTAGGAAACGGTCCGGGAAGCGGCCAACCGGACGTTAGAGAAGGTAGAGGAGTTCTGGGCAAGGGCTAGGATTCCCACCCAGCACGAGGGGAGAGCGTTCAAGAAGGTGGAAACTCTCTTCGACGAGTGGAAACGCCTAAAAAAGAACGAGAACAGGACTTCCGCCACCCAAACAAGCAACGAGGACGCATTCAAGAAACGTCTGGAAAACATCTTTGATATCGCCCAGGGTGACGCAATGTCCTTGATAACCATCCCGGAAGATCGCGCCTTCCTTCTCGCCCAACGTGAGCCAGGGAGACGGGATAGAATGACAGAGGCAGGCATGGCGCTCCATTCCCAAGAAAAGAGGAAGAGGAGGAGGGATAACGCCGAAGAGAGGAGGAGGAGCAAGGCGTCGGAGGAGGCGCGGGCGGCAGCCGACCAAGTGGAGCTGGAAAGCATAACCTTGAGTAGCTCCGAATCGTCCCCACTTCGCGGAGCCGTGAGACCTGGCCCCAGCATGGGTACAGCCACTCTATCATCCCGAAAGCGTGGTCGAACCACGGTCATCACGCCGCAACTTTCCGCTAACGTCTAACGTGTGTGTGTGTGGGGGGGGGGGGGTCGGTTGGACCCCTGAGCCGTTTGGCTCCAGATCGCGCTAGAGCTTTGCGGAAAAAAACGAGCGTGTTGCCCGTGACGAGAGGAAGCCGATGATATCCAATTTAAGGTCCTAGGTCATTGGTTGACCTTCCAGGTCAGGTCAATGACCCAGTGGTCAGGAAAATCGGGACCTGCAAGAGCTTCGTATAGTGAAGCTGTTATGTTTTTGGGGGTGCTGATCACGAATTTCATGCTAGTTTTGATCACATATGATGTCTTCATGCATTTAGACCAGGTCAGGTCAGGTCAACCATTAGGCGTCCTGCCGGTTACCCATAGTAGGTCTCAACTACCACTGATGGCGTCGTAACACGTTACAAAGGAACTAAAACAACTTCGTAAATGTTCAAATGGATGCTAAATTCGAAATCAGCCCGAAAAACTGCCCTAGAAACATGTATAACTCGGAAAAGAGACACGAGGTCATCATAGGTCAATGACCTGACCTGACCTTCAGGTGACCTTGACACCCACCTTAATGCATGGGACGAACATCATTTCACATGTTTGGGCGTTTATAATCGCAAAAAGACTAGAAACGCGTGGATAATGAGAGCTGACACGCTGAATCGCGACTCTGGCCAAACATGGTCTCGAGAAATAGGTCACAGGTCAAAGGTCATTTGGGTCAGGGTCATGAAATTTTCAGAGTAGGTTTGAAATTGATCAACTCGAGGAAACTGAAAGTTTTGTCGCGATCGGCCGTTTTTTTTCCGTGAGTTATTCGCGAAAACCCATGGGGTCCATCCGACTCCCTAAACATACGAGGGTTAATATGCATTGAGCCACCAAAAAGCATCCGCCGATTTCGCTCTTTTTGCTCTTTTTCCACGTTTCTAGACGAATGGCATCATTTGAGGGGGCGCAAGCGCGAAAAAATACAAATTAAAATTTTGTATGGAAATAAGGACCACCCTAATGTGAGTGATAGTCCTTACCGCCTTCCATCCACATACCAAATTTGAGATTGATACCTCTTTTTTTTTGGCGAAGTTATAGCGAAAAAACTGTTCAAAACTGATGACGTCAAATTTTCAAACTCAATTTTTAGCAATTCTAGACCCCGTAGCACAAAACAAAGACCACCATTAGACTCCCCGTGACGAGCTGCATCGAATCCATATCCATTTTATGCAAAACTATCAGCTTTAAAATTTGACCTTTTTTGGCCTGATGTGGAGAAGGAAATCATGGCCTCCCACTCCCCGATGGAGGCCCCAATTCCCTATCTTGTCTAGACTCTCTTTTTCACCGTCTGGCTCACTTCTGTCTTCCGTCTGGGTGTCTGGGGCGCCCGGCAACACGGGACCGTCGGCTCTTGGCCGTCGGCCACCCGGTCACGTGACGGCGCCCCGACACCCCATAAAATCCTATGTTTCTGTGAATACACCACTCACTTCTCCGCCGCCGTCTTTGCTGAGAGCTGCGCCGGACACGTCTCCGAGGGCGGTCTAATCAGCCGTCCGACACTGACCTTGACCTGACCTTGACCTGACCTTCACCAGAAAGTGACCTAAGCCGTACCTGATAGTCTTATAACCAACACCATTGAGTTGGAAATGAAAAATTGGCCATAAAACATGCATCACACAACCTTATTAAAGTTGGGTTCATGTGACCTTACCTGTGACCCTTGGTGACCTGACCTGTGACCTGACCTGGTATTGTCAGTGACCTCTTATAGCAACATAGATACTAGGCACCTGACGCCCTATCGCTGATTCTCGACAAAATGCGTTTTCCTCGGTGTTATAGCGCATTCCCTAGAAGACCCGTGAACGGTGAAACATTCCATCTTTGACCTGACCTGTGACGTCATCGGTGACCCCGAGGTCAATGAAGTTTGGTTTCCTTCGACAAATTTGACAGGCCTTTCGAACGCCGTTTGAATTTTGCGGATCCGTCCAGTCAGTGTTCCGTTTTTCAGAATTTTGGGTGGAAAATCACACCTAATGGAGATAATATTTTCATACCAAAAATCAGAAAAAGTGACACTATGTCATCTTTGGAAAATACTTCATGCATTCAAACAGCCAGGTTACATATGACTTGGCAGTCGATGCATCCACATACTTTTCTTTCAGTTCTTGTCAAAACCCTGACATGAAATCCTGCTTCATCAAATGGTGTAAAAGGGCGTTACACCCTTCTACGAGAATACTTTTGGTATTTACTTCCTTTTTTCTCATCCTAGGAATTTTCTTTCTTCATCGCCACACCCAACCAAAATCCAATTTTAGAACACTGAGGGTCTAATAACTAGGACCCTCTTTGGTCTTATAACTTTTGAGGGACTTTTGGTTTTTTAACTAGGAGTTTAAGACTAACACCATAAAACACCGCTCACTAAAATAATACATCATACCAGTATAACGCCTTTTGGGGCGACTAACGGAGCGAGCGAGAGGGTGAGCCTTGCACGTGCGAAATTTCGAGGGAGTACCTCCAGCTGACTTGTGCACGGCACCCTACTAACCGGTCTCTAGCGATGTGCCAAATTTGAGCACAATCGGCCCAGCCGTTCTCGAGATCTGGAAGAGGCACCCTGCACGTGCGCACGTGCAAAATGGGTCCCAACTGACTTGCGCACGGCACCCTACTAACCGGTCCCTAACCGTGTACCAAATTTGAGCGCCATCGGTCCAGCCGTTCTCGAGATCTGGAATCGACTCCTGCACGTGCGCACGTGCAGCAGCACCCCAACTCTGGCACATGGATATGCAGTGCCTAGTGGGTGCCTACCTACATGCCAACTTTCAGCGCAATCGGCCAAGTAGTTACCGAGATATTGCAACAATTACAAAAGTGACACCTCTTCGTTTTGCACGTGGCACGTGCATAAGGGGTCACCCACATGCATCGGGAATAGTCCAATACTTGGTAGAAGGAATGAAGCTACCCTACAAAAATTACCGCATGTAAATCGGTCAAGTGGTTGCTGAGATATAAGCGTCGTAGAATCGTGACCACGGCCGGCCGGCCGGCCGCTCATACTCAGAAATTTCCGTTATTCTACGTAAGACTCCGCTCGCTTCGCTCGCTCCGTAATAACAGACATATATACCACTGTGTGTAACCGGTACGGTATGTTTCCACTCTCCTCCAGTTGGGCTCGAGGCCAGAGTCGTCCAGCATCACTATAACATCACTATATATCACTATGTGTATGACCAGTACGTTGTTCCCGCTCTGTTACAGTCTGCCTAGAAGCCCGTGTCGTCTAGCGGCTGGTTCCCATACACTAATACAACACTATATATCACTATGTGTATGACCAGCACGGCTTTCCCCTTCCATTCCAGTGTGGCGGCCAGTATGGCCTGTGTCGTCTAGCGTCTGGTTCTCATACACTAATACAGCACTGTAACGAAACGACCGGCTCAGCTTGCTTCACCACGTGTGCTTATATTTTCTGCGACCATCACCGGCGC